GGGGGGGGGGGTTGATGATGAGTGAAGAGATCGTTAAATGTAGGAGAGAGCTAGAAACTCTGAGAAAGAACTTAGGAGTTGCAGTTCTAAGTGTGGGACCGTACCAAACCAGCAGAGCAGAGGCTTTGTAAACTAAGCTGAGAGTTGTCCTACCACACACAGGAGGAGAGGCAAAACTTGCAGCCTGAACCTAACCAAGTTGATTGCCTGCCCAAACAAAATCATCCACTTTCTCCAGAGGACTATACCAGAATCTAGTCTAGACAACATAAGATCACAACATTCAGGATAGAATTCGAAGTTTCTCAGCTTACAGAGAATCATCAAAATGTAACCAGCCTCAAAGGAAAGCACAGATGTCAACCCCAACATAACCCAGCTGTTGAAATCATCAGACACAGATTTAAAAGCCCGTATTATAACAATATTCCACGTGATCAAGGAATACGCACTTGAGATTAATGGAAAGGTGGAGGGAAACTCTATCAACCTGGAAATCTATATCCTGCAAAAGTATCCTTCAGAAATGAAAACAAAATGAAGGAATTCTCAGTTGAAAGAAAAATAAGAGAATTTCCAGGAAGTCTGATTTCAAAAAAATGATAAAGTTCTTCAGGCTGAAGCAAGATAGTATCAGAAGGAAACTAAGATCTTCAGGAGTAAAGAGTAGCAAAAACAGTAAATATCTGCATAATTATAAAAGACTGTTTTTTCCTTCTGTTCTTTATTAGTATGTATGAGCCCTGAAAGCAAATGTTAAATATTGTCTACTGGGGTTTTTCACTTGCCTTTATTTCTCTTCAGCCTAAAGAGCTCCCTTTATGATTTCTTGCCATGTAAGTTCCCTCATGACATATTTTCCCAATTTTTATTTATCTGAAAATATCTTTATTTCACCATCATTTTTGAGAGATTTTTTTGCTGGGTATAAAATTCAGGAATGTTGGTTTATTTTCTTTCATCATTTTAAAGGATGCCATGCTGTATAATCTTCTGACCTTCATTGTTTCTGATGAGAGGTCAGCTGCTATTTTTATTTTCATTTTCCTGTATGTAATATTTTTTGACAAAGGTGCCAATAGGGAAATGAAAGTCTTTTCAACAAATGGTGCTCGAACAGCTGGATATCCATATAGGAATAAAAAAAGAACCCTTACTTCATATCACACTACTCAGAAGTTAACTCAAACGTATCAGGGACCTAAATGTGAAATCTAATACTGTGAAACTTCTAGAAGAAAACATCTCTGTGGCCTTGGGCTAAGCAAAGATTTTTATATAGGATACAAAAAACAGGCATCATAAAAGAAAAATTTGATAAAGTAGTTTTAGTGTTTTTTTATTGTTGACACTATTACAGATGTCCCCAGGCCCC